AATAATAGAAAACAGAACGGGGCCACGGATTCTCGGCAACACGAGTAGGGGGGGGGGGGGGGATGGAGGAGAGGTAAGTTGACTAGGCACGCCGAATGGCCGATCGCGCACCTGCGCGACGCAGTCAACACCCCCCACTCCGTCCCCATCATTTTTATCGCGAAGCCGCGGCGCGCGGCGCCCATTCCCCCACATTCCTTCGATACATGAATACGCGTACGCACGTATACGCATCGTCGCCCGTCGGACTCCGGCGCGGCGGTTCAGACACTACGAAAAACTGTGTGATATATGTTTATTTAATACACATGCTTCTCAGAATTGATACGGATACCGAGGTAGTACATACATCATATTCGATAATAATATTCTTTCGATTACGTTCTTTCGGACGATCTCGTTTTTCTCCGCCGTAAACTTGATCGCGTCGAATCGCTTTCGGAACGCGAATAAAAGATACGATGAGCGGACCATAAAATCGAGTGACGCCGCGACGTGTTTAATTGCTAATTAGCGATCACAGTCTCTATTAACGTTGTACGTATTTAATCGTGTTTCGATATTTGGTGATCGCAGAGGCGCAATGTTCGCAAATCGACGATTTAATTAATTGCGGTTATTCGAAATCGTCTCGCAATCAGCAAAGTAGCGATCGTATTATTTTATTTTCCGTTAGCATGTCTCCCTGCATATTTCTCTTTGATCTTAATTCAAACATTTATTCCTTACGTCGCTATATATATCTCAATACGTAAAAGTAATCTCGACATTGTAATATATTCGTCGTTCAAAGTGCGAAAAGTACAAGTGGGAGCAACAAGTGTAAAATTCTCGCGACGCGCGACGGTTGCTCCGGAGTCTGGCGAGTGAAGTTGGCTGCGCGATTTACGAAATTCTCTCCGCCATCTTACTATCGTCTATCTACGGGCTGCGGGGTGCGGGAAGTCACGAGCGTCGCGCGTCCGCGAGTGGATCGTCCAGATTTCCTTCGCAGCTTCTCCGCCGTGATTCTTTCGTCGCCGTGTAATTAAATATACGCGCCGCGTCGCGAAATTAATACCGGGAGTGCCGTGTTGAAAGTGTCGCGCGATCATAAGCGACGATATCGATTTTCTCGCATTCGCGCGTGAACGTCGCCGTGTCGTGAGTGAGTGAGTGACGGAGAAGCGACAAGCGACAACGGACCAACGAAGGAGGACCGAGCGGAGGAGGAGGAGGCCTGGGAGAGGCATCGGGCGACGGCGGAGCAACCGGGGGTGAGTAATTATTATTATTTATTTGTTATATTTTGCTGTGTCCTGTGGCGGATTCCGCCACTTTCTTCGGCGACAGCGCGACTTGATCCGCCCGTTACATATTCGAATAATTACTCGTACAATATCGCGTTTGAGATTTATAAGTACTTACTCCGGCGCAATTTCGATCGGAGCTCGATCTCCGGCACACGCGAGAAAAGATATTACGTCGCGAACGTCGCGTTGCGTCTCTTTTATTCGCACGATCGTAATATTACTTACATGATTTTTCGCGAATTAATTATGCGAACGAATTAACGCGGGTATATGTGCAGCCTCTTGCGGCCGCGATTGTTTTTTTGCACTGTAGTATTTTAAAATCAGATACCTGCTAAAATCGTTTAAAAAATCGAACGGGCGCGATAATTATTTAAGTATTGATTATGTTGGACACTGCTGATGTAAAAATTTATTTCTATGTTGCAGATCAACGCAGGGCTACAACTTACAACTCCGCTGTTGCGCATCGGCCGGTGAGTGATTTTTTTTTTTCAATTTCGAGGCAATGGACAATGGATAATACGATTTAAACGATGCAGCACTTTTTTTATTAACTGTTGTATTAACGGGATCGTGTTTTGAGTCGTGTTTCAATCGCACATCGCATGTATATGCTGCATATACATATATATATAAAGTCAGAGGATTATGTATTATAAAAATATTTTCTAGGCTCTATCCATTTCCGAGCCTATCCGTTTCGAGAGGCAATAGATTATAATACATATATTAACTTCATTTGTAATATATTTTATATTTTTATACTCTCGATATTTAATGTTTTAACTTTTTCGGAAATAACTGTGAGAATAAATAATATATTCAGATATGAGATACAGAATACTTTACCGCTAAATTAATTATTATTTTAAATAAAAATTTTGATATGTCTAATAATTAATAGAAAAATACTGTACGTGATTCATTTGTAATATCTCATTTCTCATGCATACGTAACATAATTTTTACAAATCCAACATAAATGAAATGTATGCATGAGAAATGAGATATTACAAAAGAATCACGTACAGTATTATTTTTCTATTAATTATTAGACATATCAAAATTTTTATTTAGAATAATTAATTTATCGGTAAAGTGTTCTGTATCTCATATCTGAATCTCTAATATTTATTAGATAATATATATAATAATTATTTGCTTATCGATATATTTAATTTTGTTGTGATTTTAATGATTTTTTTTTTAATTTAATTTTGACGTAAATTATACGTATGATTTAATTAAAAAGCAATATAGTTTAAAAAAACAACTGAAGAATTTACTCTGTATGTGTGGGAGGCTCACACACGTAGGCTTATCTAACTACGTGCGTATATACGTATATGTCTGTATAAGATCCAAACTTAGGAAAATTAAGCTTGTCAGAGATAGAAATAATTTTCTATTTTTGCAGCACGAATAACTTGCTTACATTTTTGCATGAATTTTTCTTTTATACAGAGATAAATTTGCTTCTAAATTATTCTGCCTCAGACATTTTTACCTACTGTGACGAATGCTGTTTATCTTTTGAATCCTTTTCTTAATATCCCACCATGTGTCGCGCTTTTTTTGGCTATTACACGATTACAAGGAAAAATTCTACAGGAAACGATTACCGCTCATTTTGTATAACGCGGATTCGTTCATTCTCATATTCTCGGAATATAGCGAATTTCTGAAGGTATAACACGCGAGAAACACACGCGGAAGTATGAAGTAGGTATGAATTATTTGCGAACGATTAAAATAACACTCACTGTTCGTGCTCTCTGGGTGGAACTAATGAGTGAGATGTAAGATATTAATCTCGCGCGAGACGCCAAGTATAAATCGAAAACGAAGCAAGTGTTCAGAGAAACTCGGACGATGCAGAAATCCAAATTCTCACATTCGCGCTTTCAAATCCGAAAATTCTTTAATTTCGAGTCGTAACTCAGGGATAATATATGACATATGCAAGAGAAATCATCGCGATCGAATATTCATCGGACGATAAAAAAAATATACGCGGAGTCAGTTTACAGTTACCTTTTATGGCTTTTCACGGGAGAAGATAGGCGCGCGAAACGTTCTAGCTCGTCAAAATTCTTTCCTCTTAATCACTTATAACACTTACGTTAGTCGAGACTTGATTCACAACTTAAGAATTCTCACATTCATGGAAGCGTCGAAAGGGCAACGCTTGAAGGAAAAAATAAACGTCTTTTTAACTAGACAAAAATAAAACTCTTTAGATATACAATCAACTGAAATAAATTAAAGGCAAATAAGAGCCAACGACGGCGATTTATTTCTCAGTTGATTATCTATTTTTAACATAGAACAAGTTAATTAAGCAAATAAAAAGTCTCTCACTCGTGTTATACTCTTGAACCCGCGAGCGAAATGTCTCTCAAGAATTAGTCACGATTCTAAACCGGTACGTCATAAAAATTATTTACACGGTTGCAAAAGCGATGCCGAGGGCATGATGCGCAACCGTGCGCAACATTCACGTCTGTTAAGTCCGAGGATGATTAAGAATCGCGCGTTATCGTTAGAAAATTTTGCCCCCCCCCCCCCCCCCCGCCTGTCAATGCTTCACACCGCTAAAGTCGGAAGATCGATGATGTTTGTCTCGCGCCGAGACGCTCGAGGCACGTTTGTTCACATCGATTCGTATAGCGCCTGTAATCGCGGCCACGACATATAGCTAGCTAATTGGTCGTAATAATTAAAGTCGCGATAGCAATCTTGTTTCTGGCAAAATATAGCTTGTAATAATTTCAGCAGACAAACACCTAAATTGGTGGCGCAAACAATGATAATTATTTATTCTCTTCTAATATTATAAAATTAGTCTGATTAGCCTCAGACTCATCCCGGCCGGCGATTTGCAACCACAGTTATACGTTAACGAGTCAAACTAAATAATTTTGTTTAATCTTATCATTTTTAAAGAGAAATGATTCCAATATGTCGACTCAGTAATAAGAAAAAAGAATATAAAGATATTAAGTGGTTTCGCTTTATGATTTTGCGATTTCCACCTTCTTGAAATACGATTTAAACGATGCAGCACTTTTTCTATTAACTGTTGTATTAACAGGATCATGTTTCGAGTCGTGTTTCAATCGCACATCGCATGTATATGCATATATATGTAAAGTCGGCAGAGGATTATGAATTATAAAAATATTTTCTAGGCTCTATTCATTTCCGAGCCTATATCCGTTTCGAGGTAATAGATTATAATACATATATTACTTTATTTGTAATATATTTTATAATTTTATACTCTCTCTCTCTGTAAAAGGAAAATTCATGCAAATATGTAAGCAAGTTATTCGTACTACAAAAATAGAAAATTATTTCTATCTCTGACAAGCTTAATTTTCCTATGTTGGATCTTATACAGGCATATACATACGCACGTAGATAAACCTACGTGTGTGAGCTGCCCACACATACAGAGTAAATTCTTCAGATGTTGTTTTTTGAAACTACTGCTTTTTAATTAAATCATACGTAATTTACGTCAAAATTAAATATTACAAAAAATCATCAAAATTACATCAAAAATATTAAATATATCGATAAACAAATAATTATATATATATTATATATATTATCTAATAAATATTTAAAAAAATTAGTAAAAATCAATATCTATTATAATAATTGTTAGTGACAAATGATTAGTATCATAAGGGCACTGACCTGGGAAAGGCGAGTCTGAGATCGGCTCTGAGTTTATTTAACAGCTCGCTGACTGACGTGAACTGTCTCAAGGTCATCTCGCCACTTCCGGATGCGTAACCGGAACTCGAACTGGTTGTCGACGGCAGAGTACCTTGAGAGTCTTGAACGGTTCCTAATGGGCGTCTTCCCCATCGTCTCAGCGCGATTGCGTAATCTTCGGCATTATACGTGGGTGGTCTTAAGCGCTCCTATGAACAGTTTGATCATTTGTTTAGAAAGAAAATTATTAAATTATTTCATTCCATGAAATATCAGCTTATATGATTAATAACATTTTCTATCACGTTGAAAATAATTCGATTTTATCTGTGACGAAATAAAGCCCTTCTAAGATCATTAAAATAATGACGAAATCATCGTCGTTGGAAATGTCGTCTTAACTTGAAGAGTTAATTTATTAATTAATCTATACAGAATTAGTATTACAGTGTTAGTATCTCGTACATCGAAGAGTACACGAATTATTGCCGCTTACACGTATGAAATATTTATGTCGAAGGGTAGGAAGATATCTACGGTTAATTTCAGGGCGCTTCCGATCATAAATTGATAGGATCGTAGTGATTATCGTTTTCTCTCGTTGTCCATAAGTTGCGGCGGTAGCTGCTGGATGCTGCTACGAGAGAACGGTTATGGCGATGAAACTAGGATCGATGATCAAAACCAATTGCTCATACAGTTTGATTTCCGCCAGTACGAATATGTAGATTAAAATATATTTAGACAGTGTTTTAGATCAAAGAAATTCTAAATGAATTTAATAAATTTGTAATTAAAAGAAAACGCGTCGTTAATCTAAGATCTTATGCATGACAAATCGATTCATTATTTGCCATTAATGAACGTTAATTTGCATTAATATCAATAAAATCACAAAACTGAATACTTTGTGCGAATAAATTTATTCCGTTTTATAGTCGCGACAATAAAATACATACATCAAGCCTTTCTCACTTTTAAGTGTTTCGGGAAGCGATTCTAATCAGCGATGCTTCCTAATACGCGCTGTTGTACTCCACGCGAACAAATTACGTAAAATTGATTTACTTTCATGCTTACGGTTAACGCAGAACGTATAAATTATGAAGCAATCCGCTATTGACGCACACGGAAGCGGTATAAATTATTCAAATGAGTCAATTACATTCTGAATCGTTCCCGTAAGCGCGTACGGTTCTTCTATTTCAATATAACGCACGCTTATCAAACGGCAGCGCGCGGGGTTAATCGAACGAGCCGTCTTGAGAAATCGCAGCGAGCGCGATCGTTGAAGAAGATTCAGAGACTCCCAATTAAATAAACTATATGAGAGAATTCCTTAAAATTATCCCGTTTTTATTCGTACAAATGAACCAGACGTTGATGCATAAGTAGTAAAAAATACAGACGGAGTTTGTAGGAGTTTGTCTAAGTGCAGGTTTGAAGGAAGAACAAAAAAAAGGAGGGGAACAAAATAGAAAGGAAATCGAAAAACCCACGATATTCTCGCCTCTCTGGTTTGCGGTCGATACTTACATCTCGTCCGGATACCGCATTGTCGCGGTCGATCGCATTCACTCGCGGCTCTCGCTCGCGAGTAAATAAACACTATTTATGACAGCGGAGAACGCAGCGTGACAATGAGAATATACCTCGATATAATTTCTTAACACTGTTTATGCGCACCACGTCTACCCTGATCGGTCGCTCAGACCCGCTTGCTCCTTCCCGCACACATCGTCTTGAAAATAAACATTCTCTGTTATCCTTTGCATTGAATTTTCCGAGTATTGATTTTATACAGCGGACTTGTAAGATTATATGTCGGAAATCGAAGATCGCGGATGCGACGGGTATTATCAGCGAAATTACAGTTGGATCGTCCGGCGATTTCGTAAAACTGCGGTGTAGCAATTATAAGATAAAAATAAAAGAGAAAAAAATTGGATGGCTTTTGGAAAGCACGAATTTAAATCGATTACACGACGTGAGGATCATTAGCAATCACGATCAATCACGCTCGGGGGTACTTATTGTTTATTATATCCACGAGGAACGTTCTTGATTGGATCTCGTTACAGCGAGATACGACGCGTGCCGACGTCGCCTTCGTTTTGGCTTGTCTTTACGTGACATCGTGATGATGAGAGATAAGATTCTATAGCAATTACGATCATAAATATAACTTGCTTATTAATTAACTTACGGGGGATGCGTTCGCGCTTCGTGTCGGGAAGAGAAGACGAGCTATTTTTTTTATCCTTCGGCTTCTTTTAAATTTCTAACTCGGAGCGAAAGTAAAAAACGCGAGGTTGGCGCACGCGGCTTATAAAATTGATGATTTATCGAAAGTGTTAATAACAACACTTTCGATACGCCATCAGCTTTACATTCATTTTACGCGTCCCTTCCGCAATTTAAGTGAAATCGCCGCCGAGACTTTCCCGCAACGATGGAACATCATCGTATGGCTGCGCGCACATATACGATATCTCGTCACAGTCGATCTAATTTCGAGTTCGTTTGCGATTTCCATTTTCATCCGACGCAATTGAGCAATTTCGATCTAAACACTCGTAAAATCCGCGACTTTCATACGCGTTAAAGTGAAACTACTTACGTCGGCGATCCGCTTTTTTGGATAGTTTTTGAATTAACACGGATGTGATAAAACGACGAAACAGTGATACGTTTATCCCTGATTAATTAAATTGTTCATGGATAATTATCGTTATCTCACGGCATATATTTAATATCGACTATTACGTGCTGTAAAATAAACTTGCATAAACTATACATTTTAACGCACAGGAGCAAGATTCGCTAATGATCGCGATATCAAGACATATATATTGGTTTAATTGGAAGAGAAATTGTATCGCGGAAATTGATATTCATTAATCGCGCGTGTGACAGTATGAGATATATATTATCTCTCGCAATGCAAAAAGCAAAATATCATAAGCCAGTGGGAAAGACATGCGGGAATATTTATGAGACACCATGTGCAATATATAATCAAGCTGTACGCGCGCGTATGCCGTTAGCGACAAGGTCAAGGCGGGAAGTGACTTGCCACTTCAGCTCGGCAAGGCCAGCTCTATTCTCTTAATATTAATATCCCTTTTCTTGTCGTACGCGCTCGAACCGGGTTTAAAAGAGGCGATGGGGTTCTCACGGTGTGCGTAGCGCAAAATGAAGATCGGTCGTCCTGCTGTCGATGCCGGTCTGGCCTGTCTCCTATGTATATTTACTCAAAGTTGAAAGATATGCTAATCGGAAACTTCCTGCTGGTCGTCGCACGCCGTGGAAGTCGTCGAACGGCTATTTAACGCGGCTCCGGTTACATCATAAAGCTTCCGCGCCTGTTTACACGCCGGCGAAGTAAGCCGACGCGGAGACGGCGACGCGACGTGCGACACAATCGTTTTCAGCGTGTTCGTTAACATCGGTAACGTACACCGTAATTTACTTAGCGTTGCCTTACCTTTTCCGGTTGCGGTCCCCATGGTTTCACAACCAGCAGTTCCTCCTCCGCATTGGGCGCCATGTCCGACTCGCTGAAAAATCACAGAAAAAAATGCTTCAGAAAATGAACGGGTAGTATAATTCTTTCGGGTTAAAAGAAAGACACATATTAACATAGTTACGTACACGATTTTATTTACTTAAAAAATGTGTATTTAAAATTGAAATTACAACGAAATCAAAACGAAGTAAAGGTTGACTTGTGTTTTCCTTGTTTTTGCTGCTAGATTACGAGAGAAACATTAAAAGAATGTGAATTTTTTTTCTTCTGTATACCAAAATTAGTAATTTTAACAGCATTAATAGCATTTTTGAAACATTAATTCTTTTTTTAAAACTATATTTTAGAATAATATGGAAAACTACTTTTCTTCTTATTTTACACATATATTAGATACAATTTGTATGCACAGTTAAATTCGTAATGTCAAATTATATTCAATTTGAGTCGTTTTTTACCATTCCTGTAGGTCGTCACTGCTCTTACTCAATATTTCATTAATTTAAGTAAACTAATAAAGTTAAAGTAATATTGTTTTATGTTAAAATAATAACAAAGTATTATTTAAGTCAAGGTATTTAAATTTCATTCTTTAACAGTATGTATTCCAGATTTTTTATGAAACTAAACTTTACGACAATTTTTAAAAGCGCATAGCTATATTATATTAATCCACGCATGACGATACGCAAAAAGAATTAATTTATTTCGACGTATAACGCAAGGACAAAATTCTTGCAACATCGTTTCTAATGACGTTTTGCAATTCAATGCGAATGAAGAAGCGGAAGTGACATTGAATTCCTACCGCATCCAATTCGAAGAAAGCGCGAGGCGGAAAATCTCTCAAGACAGTTAAGAGCATTGTTCTTCTTGAAAAAATGCCATCTCTCTCTTGGTCACTTTCATACAATGCAGAACGTTGTGTTTAATTAAAGAGTCACGCACATCGCGCTCGCGGCTGTCGATCGTCCGTGCTGTAGAGCGATTCCGCGGAATTTGCTTCGTGGTATTTTCAAACGGTACCTCACTCACGCGGTGCGTTCCGCCAGGACGGAGGCGATGGCGCGTACCAGCACCGTATGCGTTATTGTAACAAAAATGGAAATTAATTTTCATCGCTATTTCGCTCGTTCTACGTTTCCATTCCGCCCGATTCTTAAGAAATTCGCTTATCCTCTCTTCTGGAGAAACGTATACGCATCTCGTGATCGAGAGCCCGAAAATCGCAAGATGCGTAAAGAATTTCGCGATAAATTTCTGAATTCTTTATGAATATATGATGTATATTTTATCGAGAGAGAGAGAGAGAGAGAGAACTCGCCATCAGAAATTGATTCAATAAGGAGGACTTTAATTAATAAGGAGGTCTTCCATCATTAACTTTTGACGCTTCGTTCGAATGTGCGATTTATATCGCAGCGTCACGATGATCTCGCGCGATTACTCGCGGTAATAATCGCAATTGTATTAGCGCGAGAGAGATTCTGGTTATCGCGCCGGTAATTGCGTTTCACACCTGCGCACCTGTCCGGTATGCAGATACAATCTTATCCGTCGAGAGATAAAGGCGGAGACTCCTCTCGCGAGCGCTCTAGCATTTCACGGTCCGACTGCTGCGCGGTGCAATGGATTCTACCACGTATAACATTACGAGGACAGGGACCACGGATGCTTAGTTTTCTAGGTTGCCCGATGATAATAATGGGAGTTATACGATCGTGTCGCGGTCACGATCGACCGTATATGATCGTGCCATCGATGCCTTCGATGGCAAGCCGAGTGGATCGAAGATGTACCATGATGTTTGATGGTCACGTCGTGACCTTACAAATCACCACCGTAACCGTAATCACCGATTCCCGTAATTCGATTTAAAGGTTACTATTCGTAACATTAGCGCTGCGTTACACAACCGGTATATTAAACGGCGCGCTGTGAATCTTGTATCACGCGATTGACTTTCTAGACGGATGTTCCATCGCGTATACGTGTTAACATAAAACTGTCGTAGGAAAATTTACAGTGTACAATGCGTGTAAGATGTATAACTGATTTAGAAAAACAAACAAAATTTTAACAATTGTGTTATTTAGTTATGCTTATTTAATTACTTAATTTCAGTTAATCTGCTTACTTTTATGAATATTAATTTGATATCTCAATGCATTCCAATGAGAACTTTTATGAAGTCAGTGTTTTGTTTTCAGAATTTCGGCAGAACTGAGAGAGACTCTGGCTCTTTCCTATAAGAAACTCCAGAATTCCCAAAAAGCATGCGTTTAAAAATATATGCTTAAGAAAAAAAATTCTGACAATTAAATATAAAAAAGAAATACAAAATGTTGAGTATTTTTGTTACGCGAGACACACATCTAGACAGAGAGTTCACGTTTTAACTTTTTTATTTTAATCGGGATCGTGGTGGAGAGAAATTATTGAAAGTTTTGCAATACAAATTTAATTTTTTCGTAAAAATGTTTCGATAAAATTTATGTTCTCGAACGTAAGAAATTCAATCAGTTGCATCGAAATTCTGAGAAACGGCACGCTGACTTCTCAAGGATTATCCGATGTCGCTCTACTCTCGGATGTCACACGCGTGGACTTCCCTCACGGAAACCCGCGACGAACACGTGCGTACGTACGTATGCGGGTACACTTGAAACGCGTGCTTGGGTATAACGCGTAGGAAAAGGTACGCGGCGTAAGTGCGTACCCTACTACTCGGAAACCGTCGAGGCATTGACCCGCGCGCGAGTGCGGTTAAGTCACCACATGTGCACGCGTGGATTACCCGATATATGTGCGCATCTACGTGCGTCCGCTACGCCGGCACACGTATGTACATGCAAGCGCGCGCGGTGCGCTTCAATAGCATTAAAACGGCCCACGCTCCTCCACCGCCGTATCCCCCTTCGCGGCTACTACCGCCGGCCTCTAAACAATTCGCCACCGTACTCAACCGTAGATTTCCGTAATACACATTAGATCGTCAGCAGGCCGTAATTACCTAGCGATTAGACGCTGACGAGGCTATGATGGAACCCCCCTATTTTGAAATTGTCGAGTTATCTTTCTATTCTGAAGTAAATCTTTCCTAATGGGAATAAAAATGTTGCATGTTTCCCTCTTCCTCTTCCCAATAGGAACAAAAATGTTGCACGTTCTCTCTCATTAATTTTTTCTCGGTACTGTTATGTGATCATGCGATAAATGTGCGGTGTAAGAAAAGGGGGAGAAGAAAATTTCACTTTACAGAAAGGCAGTTCCAGAAGTTCCATATTACGTCTGCGATGTAACAAGGACTCGCTATTTTTATTAGCCTGAAATATGCACGGTTGATGATACCGAATACACGACACCGGATGAGATCGTCTTTCTCGTTGAATGTATACGTTCCTTGTAAGAAGTCCCGCTTGAGCGACGATCGGATAGCTTTAACCAGTCAGAAATAATTAATACATTCGATTGCACAATGCGCCGTTCTTAACACGCACGCGATGGAAGCGCGTTCCCCGTCGTGTGCGTCCAGCGATGTACGAACAACGTACGTTCCACATAGTAGGATACATTACATATAGTAGGATGCGCAAAGAGGCGCCGCGCTCTTCGAGGCCGAGGACGACCGCGGAAAATCTTGCGACTGAGAACGCAATGTCGTTCATCTGCCTCGTTACGACCTGCGTGCGAGAACGAAATTCTCTCGCCTCGTCAATTAAACATATACGTTTATACATAAACATACGTAAAAATGTCCAATGCACTTGTAACGCGATTTACAGGAATGGTCGTTTCAAAACGAAATATTCGCTCATCGTCAAACGATTGCGCGGTAATAACGCGATTCTCTTAAATTCGGTGTCGAGATGAAAAGGCATTTCCAAACTTACCGAGCCAACGAGAAAAGTACATAGGGCTCGGCTTCATTGTGTGGAAAATTGATAGGTACTGCAGAGCGTAACGAGGTGCCGCGACTCGTTAAAACGATTATTCCCGTCTGGTCGAACTGTTGCGTAACGAAAAATATCTAATACCGTCATCGACTCGTAATAACGGAGAGGCCGAGTCTCCACCGGCAATTAACCGGCAACTAAATACCAATTTACCTCTTTTCTCTTCGGCATAATTAATTAAATTCTTGTTTCACCTCTGGAAAAGAGGTGACACAAGAATTTAATTAATTATGCCGAAATTTCAAGAGTCAAACGTGTTCACGCGCATCTCGAGACTCTTCCTTCAATTCGAAAGCAGCTACTTTAACGGCACAATTGACGAAATGGTATCCGCGAAGCGTCTAGTGGAAGCAAACGCCGCAGATCCGTGTTCCACGGTTATTAAAGTCGAGGTCGTCCCGAGCGCCAACGGTTGAGAGGGTACAGTTGAATACAAGAAGAGGTCATCGCGAGAGCGATTGCGAGGGGGTGCGAGGGAGCCGCGGGAGGGAAGGGGGAGGGGAGGAAGACATTGTAAGCATCACGATGCTCGTAATGCTTTCCGTCGAGTGTTCCGCCGCATCAGATATCGCGGCGCGCGGAGAACGTCTTCCCGAGCGGAGCGGAGAGTCGGAGAACGCGTTCGGGACGCGCCGCGCCGCGCCGCGCCACGCCGAGGAAGAGACGCGAGAGAGAAGAAGGCGCCACGATCCCCGGGACCTCGGATCGTCGATCTTGACGACCATTAGCGGAATACACGTGAAGTCCAGGGGGATTTTTCCGTTATGACTGTTCCGGGAGCTATGCACGCTGGAATGCTAACCGAGCCCGGCGCGATGCCCGGAAATGCAGTCCCGTCTACCATACCTGATTCCTCGCCGATTGCGAAAGAAATACGTTCGTATTTCCCCCGAGGGGGCTGCAAAAACCAGCCGGACGTTCGTCGAGCTTTCGCGCGCGGTACGTAACGCTAGATTTCGTCGCTGTACACGCCGCGGAGCTTTCGCGGATTCGCGGCACGATGAGTTTGAAGATTTTTTAATAATCGATTTTCATAACCGATCGAAATATGAAATCGAGAGCGGTACGTGCGTGT